AGACCTAAATTTTCTGACTTCTTGCTCCTAAACCATTGCTCTAGCTCTGGCTTCAAAGCATCTTGAAATTCAATACTTGAGGGGCCAGCGCTGTGGCGCAGTGGGTTAACGCCCTGGCCTGAAGCGCCGGCATCCCATATGGGCGCTGGTCTTGAACCGCTATGGCCTGGGAAAGCAGTACAAGATGGCCCAAGACCTTGGGCCCCTGCACTCACGTGGGAGACCTGGAAGAAGCTCCTAGCTCCCAGCTTCGGATCGGCGCAGCTCCGGCAGTTGCAGCCAATTGGGGAGTGAACAAGCAGATGGAAGACCTCTCTCTCTCTCTCCTCTCTTTCTGTGTAACTCTGACTTTCAAATAAATAAATAAACCTTAAAAAAAAAAAGAAAGTCAACACTTGAGTCCTAGCAGATGTCAGGAAAGCAGAGTTGCAAGGTGAGTGAGCTGTCCTGTCAGGCTCTGCCAGTTTCCAAATCTGCCCTAAGCCAGGAGAGCAGAGGCCACCTGCTCTCCAGAGAGAGAGATCTGTTGCTCAGATCCCTGTTCCCCGTGCCTGGCTAGCCCAACAACAGCATCTCTATCTAACCCTTATTGTGTTCACACAAAAATATATGTTGAGCAGCTGCCAAGCTGTGCAGTGCCGGGAGTTTTGTAATGATTATCTCCCTGAAGACATTGAAATTTGTTAGATTCAGAAAGAAGCCTTGTAATTTTCCTTATATAACTGAAAGCAGAGACTCCCAAGAAATGAGGACTGGCATACATTCTGTCTTTGGGGTCAAGTCTACTTCCAGGAGAGCTGTCCAAAGTGCTCTGGTCAGCAGGTAAAGCTTCCACTTGAGATGTCTGCTGGCTCGAAGCTCAGAGGTGCCACTTGCAATCCAGCTCCCTGCTGGTGCTCCTGGGAAGGCAGCAGGTGATGGCCCCAGTACTTGGGTCCCTGCCACCCACGTAAGAGAAACTGATGGCGTTCTGGCTCCTGACTTTGGCCAGGTCCAGCCCTAGCTGTTGCAGGCATTTGGAGAGAACCAGCAGATGGAAGATCTGTCTCCCACATTCTCTCTCTTCCACTCTGCCTTTCTTTTTTTTCTTTTTTTTTCTTTCTTTTTTTTTTTTTTTTTTTTTTTTTTGACAGGCAGAGTGGACAGTGAAAGAGAGAGACAGAGAGAAAGGTCTTCCTTTTGCAGTTGGTTCACCCTCCAATGGCCAGCGCACCGCACTGATCCGATGGCAGGAGCCAGGTACTTCTCCTGGTCTCCTATGGGGTGCAGGGCCCAAGGACTTGGGCCATCCTCCACTGCACTCCCTGGCCACACCAGAGAGCTGGTCTGGAAGAGGGGCAACCAGGACAGAATCTGGTGCCCCGACCGGGACTAGAACCCAGTGTGCCGGCGCCGCAAGGCGGGGGATTAGCCTATTGAGCCGCGGCGCCGGCCGCACTCTGCCTTTCAAACAAACATAAATAAAACTTTTTTAAAAATCACATCTGGGCCAGCACCGCGGCTCACTAGGCTAATCCTCCGCCTAGCGGCGCCGGCACACCGGGTTCTAGTCCCGGTCGGGGCGCCGGATTCTGTCCTGGTTGCCCCTCTTCCAGGCCAGCCCTCTGCTGTGGCCAGGGAGTGCAGTGGAGGATGGCCCAGGTGCTTGGGCCCTGCACCCCATGGGAGACCAGGAGAAGCACCTGGCTCCTGGCTCCTGCCATCGGATCAGCGCGGTGCGCCGGCCGCAGCGCGCCGGCCGCGGCGGCCATTGGAGGGTGAACCAACGGCAAAGGAAGACCTTTCTCTCTGTCTCTCTCTCTCACTGTCCACTCTGCCTGTCAAAAAAATAAAAAAAGAAAAAAAAAATCACATCTGCTCATTTTTTTAAAAAAGGAGTAAATATACCATAAAGCACCCATTCTGGAGGAATTTATGACCCTAAAGAAGACAGAAAGATCATTCGTGACTGTATGAAGATTATCACAAACTGTCTTATCTCCTAAAAACCCCATTTTTCTTCTCTAAAGAAGTCTGTTTGTTCTTCCCACTAGAGCCTACTCTCTGCCACTCCCTTTCTTCTGCTGACTTAGGTCTGTGTCTGTCAGTTTCGCACAGCTATCACAGAGAGTGACACTGGTAATCCACAAAGAACAGAGGGGTGGGTGTTGTGGGCACAGCAGCTGGAGCTGCCACCTGGATGCCCAGAGCTGCTCTGCTTCCTATGGATAACCTGGAGGCCCCAGCTGATGGCCCAAGTGCCTGGGTGGAGTCCCAGCTGGAGATCCTTGCTCCTGGCTGTGGTTCTGGTTTTTGTGGACATTTGGAGAGTGAATCAGCTGATGAAGGTCTTTATTCTTCCCTCTCTCTTTCAAATACAGTTAATCAATCAATCAATCAATTAGACTTTGAGGGGTAACACAGAGATTTAGCTCTTATAATGCTGGAGGCTGTGAAGTCCAGGGTCAAGAGCCCACGTCTGGGGCCGGCGCTGTGGCCTGCAGCACTGCATCTTCTGTGGGCGCCAGTCTGAATCCTGGCTGCTGCACTTCCGATCCAGCTCCCTGCTGTGGCATGGGAAAGCAGCAGAGGATGGCCTAAGTTCTTGGGCCCCTGCACCTGTGTGGGAGACGTGGATGAAGCTCCTGGCTCCTGGCATCAGCCTGGTCCAGCCCTGGCATTGTGACCATTTGGGGAGTGAACCAGTGGATGGAAGACCTCTCTCTCTCTATCTCTTTCAAATAAATAAATAATTTTTTTAAAGAGGCCCACATTTGGCAAGGGCCTTCTTACTGTATCATGGAAAAAGGCAGGAGGGCTAGAGCGCATGTGGGAGAGACAGAGGCAGAGACCTCATGCATGCGGACTTGTCTTCACAACCAGCACCCATGCATAGGTGAAGGTGCAGACCTCGTGACCTAAACACTTCCTATTAGGCACCACCTGCCAGCACTGTTGCACTGGGGATCTAAGCTCCCAATAACACTTTGGGGAGGACACAGCGAAGCCGCAGCCAGTGTGCTCCAGACCCTTAGCACCCCCTGGGTTACTCACGTCTGAGTGCGCTGCGTGCGCGTGCGTCATCAGATGCATGAAGAAACTTTTTTCTCTTGCTAATCTTTTTTTCCATTTAATTTGCAGATCCTCAGGCACTGAACCTAAGAGGGTGGAGGAAAATTTGTTTTTGTTTTTTTTTGTTTTCCTGGCAGTGGTTTGTGGTGAATCTTGTTTCACTCTCCAGCTCTCAGCAGAGCCGGAGGCCCCCAGGCCCCTCACCCAGCACTGCCTCCTCCTTGAGCCTGTTGCTAACCTCTGCTCACCAGGCCAGAGGAGGCAGCCCAGTCCTCAGCCTTGTTCCTTTCTGGCCCTTACTCTCCAAGTATCCATACCCTTAAGAGAGGAAAATGCTGAGAACATGAGCCTTGAGCCAGAAGTCGACGCCTTCCTCAGGAGAGGAGCTCGGCAGGGAGTCAGGTAGGAACAAATGAAGTTGGGAGCATTGTTTCAGTTTCTGTGCAGCACTGCATTATACCTGTCAATATAGTACAGCCACTTTCCCATAATGCACTTGTGCCTCATCCGAGACCAGGAAGGAGGAGACACACTGACGGCTGCATGGAAGGTAAACTCCACCTGAAGGAAGTGAAGCCCCCAGAACACCAGACTCCATCTTGTTCCACCCCGCCTCATCCCCTGCCTCACGGGTGAGCGGGGCACCTTTTGCTTTTGGTTTCGGGACCTCATCTGTGGGCCCTTCTCCAGCCTCCTCCCGTGCTCTTTCCTCATAGGCAAATCTCTGGCTCACCCCCGAACGCCAGCTCTGTGTGGGTCGGCCCACACTCACCTAAATGCACACTCACTCTCTCTTTACCTGCTCTCACCTTTTTTTTTTTTTTTTAAGATTTATTTATATATTTGAAAGAGTAACAGAGAGAGTGGGAGAGAAAGGGAGGGAGAAAGATCTTCCATTTGCTGGCTCACTCCCCAGGTGGCCACAACAGCCAGGACTGGGCCAAGCCGAAGCCAGGAGCTTCTTCTGGGTCTCCCACATGGGTGCAGGGGCCTAAACACTTGGGCATCCTCCCATGCTGTCCCAGGCCACGAGCAGGGAGCTGGGTCAGAAATGGAGCTGTGGCTTTACCTGCTGAGCCACAATGCAGGCCCCCTGCTCTCACCTGTGTGCTGTGTGTCTCTGCTTTGAATTCTTATCTCTATGGGGAAGGAACTTGGAATAAAGTGAAGATACTCATGCTTGTAACATAAGTATTTGTATTTGTCTTTCTGGGTCTGAAATCCAGATTCACGCCTGGAGGGCTCCTGCCATACGTGTGCTGGTCTTTGGCCAAAGGAGTTCTGGCCACGTGCGAGAGCTGTAGGGAAGCTCGTGCTAGATGAAGTGGACCCTTTCACGTGTCCATGAGGTGGACAGCATCCATGCTCAGAGGTAGCACTGCCTGACCCTTGAGTAGGAAAAGAAAACATCCCCTAAGGGCCCTGCAATGTGTGACACGGAGCAGTTTCTTCACCTACCCCACCCCCAGTCCCTGGGGCTTGCCAGAAAGAAGAAAAGTCCCAGGCCAGGCCAGACTCCTTAATCCCTGCTCTCGGCAACACACACAAAGAGGCAGCTGAAGCCGAAATTACCACTCGCCGGGATGCAGATTGCATTCTTAGTGAGGGGAACTCCTCCTCAGCCACTGGGGAAGGGGGGGGGGTGGTCTACTGCTGACGCTAGGAGTTGGGCAAGTGAGGCATCCAATACAGCTGCACACAGACAGACAAGAGCACTGGGGTGGTGGAAATGAAAGCGCACCCCTGATGGCAGACCCGGGGAGAGGAAGTCATCTATTATACGGTCAGTGCCCCGCCCAGCTCTGCGAAGATGCCCTCTCCAATCTCTGCCCCAGCATCCCCAGACACTTCAAGGAGAAGAGGGGAAGGAGGGCTTGTTACCGGTCACGGAGGGGAGGACGGTTGCCGGAGTGAGATTCCTGGGTTCTTTTCCTCAGCTTAGTATGGAAATAAAAAGCCAGGAGCTTTTCTTTCTGCCTCGCGCTCCCGGCGGTAGCAGGTGCGGCTTCGACATGCAGAGCAACGCCGGCGAGTTCGTGGACCTGTACGTGCCGCGGAAATGCTCCGCCAGCAACCGCATCATCGGGGCCAAGGACCACGCGTCCATCCCGATGAACGTGGCCGAGGTCGACAAGGTCACGGGCAGGTTTAACGGGCAGTCCAAGACGTACGCGATCTGCGGCGCCATCCGCAGGATGGGGGAGTCAGACGACTCCATTCTCCGGCTGGCCAAGTCCCACGGCATCGTCTCGCAGAACTTCTGAGCGAACAGGGCGTGGCGCATCGTGGCAAATAAACGATAAACGGTGGAAAAATAAATAAATAAAAAGCCAGGAAACAATTTGCAAAGAGGCAGAAACTTGTTAGACAGAAGAGAAACTTATTTGATTGGCAGGCGACAGAGAACGCGTCTGGCCTGAGAGGAGCCCAGGCGGAGAGCCCGAGGGGGACGCGGGCTCTGAGGAGGTGTCCCGGTGTCTAAGGCGTCACTGTGCTCACTGGGTGGGGGTGCCCACTGGACGGGGTTTCTCACACGCATGTGGATTGGCTTGGGGCTCATGGAGGTAGCGGGTGGACGTGGGGATTTCCTGGAGGTGTCTGTGTCCTTAGGGCCCAGCCCCCTCCCCTGCCAGCTCTGGGTCAAAGATGGCAGCCACCTGGAGGTGGGTCTCCTGGAGCCAGTCCCACTCTCCCCAGGGAGAGCCCCCTCCTCTGCCAGCTCTGGGTGGAAGATTGCACCCACCCAGGTGTGATTTAAGGCCGTGAGGTCACACACGCAGCACAGAAGCTATCAGTGGGAGAGATGCCAGTCGGTGTGGAGACAGCTTTCCAGCCGGCGGCCTGCTTGTGGAGGATGTCCTACGTGCGTCTGAGGGGCCACAGACCCCAGCCCCACTGCACGGCCTCAGGGAACCAAGAACCTCTCTGGATATGAAGTAGCCACATGGATCTGAGTCCTTCAGACTGGGATTGAACCTAGTTCTGCTGTTTCTGTGGTGGCTCTGATGCGGGCCAGGCAGCCAGGGAGTTCAGATCTGAGGAGCTGGGAGCTGCTGCAAGCCCCCATGTGCAGTTCCAGCCTTCTGCTGCCGCCTCTTTCCAGGGTACCTATGCTTCACCAGGACCCAAGGGGGCACGTTATGAAAATCTGGAATTAAGCTCCACGTGGGACTTGCGGAGGTTCCATATAACTCCCAGTGGCTCCACACCTGTAGAGGCCCCACCCCCTCAAAAAGGGGCCAGCACTGGGGGAGGAGCTCTCTTTCACGGCTAGAAGTGCTGCCAGGTGCTCTCTGCCTCTCCTGCTCCTTTTGGACAACCCTTGGCCCACTGCCCACTCATGACCAGTATTTCTTCTTGTGGGACAACCCATGCTCACATTGTATGTGTGTTCATTTTCTCATCTTTTCAATAAATTTTGTTACCTCTGTCTGCACTTAGAAGCTTGCCTTTGTGCAAGAAAAGAGGCTAGAGTGAAAATCAGTGTTACTCAAGCCCATATCAGGATTGGTTGCATGATATTCTGGGCTCCGTTCAAAGTGAAAACGCGGCTGGCGCCGCGGCTCAATAGGCTAATCCTCCGCCTGCGGCACCAGCACACCGGGTTCTGTCCCAGTTGCCCCTCTTCCAGGCCAGCTCTGTGGCCCGGGAGTGCAGTGGAGGATGGCCCAAGTGCTTGGGCCCTGCACCCCATGGGAGACCAGGAGAAGCACCTGGCTCCTGGCTTCGGATCAGCGCGCCGGCCGTAGCGGCCATTGGAGGGTGAACCAACGGCAAAAGGAAGACCTTTCTCTCTGTCTCTCTCTCTCACTGTCCACTCTGCCTGTCAAGAATTTCAAAGTCAGTTTCTTCAACAAGGTGGGAGTTGGCAGGGTGGACAGACCTGCCTTACCACCCCTCCTGACCTGGATTTGCTGCAGAGTTATTACTTAGAAAGCCTCTTTTCTACTCAGTTGGCAGGGGAAGAGGCAAGGATATGGACTGACCCAGAAAACTGGTGGTCCTGTAATTATAAGCCATAGAGGGTCAGACTAGTCATCCACACCTGCAGGTAGGCCCCCCCAAAGTGATGGATGGGTCATTAAACTCTCCTCACTCATCCTGAGCCTATGGTACTGAACGCCAGGTGGACATGAAGGTGACCAGCTAGAGTCTGCCATCCCACGCAGAATTTACCCAGGGCTCACGAGGTCTGAGGGCCACATCCAGGCAGTGCCCAGTTCTGGGGTACAAGATGTCCTGGGCTGTGTTACCCACTGCCAGCTTTGGGGAACCATTTTTACAGGGGTGAGTGTGGATCCCCTTCTCCCGCTCCCCACCAGCCAACACAAAGTCCTCACCTCTCTCCAACTTCAACAGGCTTCTCAAAACCTCTCTCTCCCTGCTGCGTCTGGGTGCCCTCATCTTCACCAACTCTCTTTATTGTGCCCATTTCACAGTTGGGAGGTTGAAGCACAGAAACATCTTCCAGAGAACCAAGAGAGTAGATCCTGGCTTGAGCCTCTGGGTTCCCTGGGGAACAACCGCATCAGGCTCTCGGCAGCTCGCAGCTCCCAGCACTCCCCTTCCGCGAGCCGGCAGCCAGGCTGGGGAGCGGCACCGGGAGCAGCGGCCAGTGGCAGCCTCCCAGCAGGTCTTTTACACTGAGGCGTTTTTGAGGAGCGCAGAGCTGTGGGAGAGCGGGTGGAGCTCTTTGTAGGAAAGAGCATAAAGACACATTTAACTACCCAAAATGCTCCCTTGTTAGCCCCACCGGCCAGCTCTCCCTGCCCCCGCCCACACGCCGACCGCACAAAGCCAGCCAGAGCAGAGCATGGGCACGAAGAGCCCCTTCCCGTGGCAGCAACACAGGCAGCAGGCAGATGGGCCCTCCCAGGAGGCTCCCAAGCTCTGGCAAGGACCCTCCCAGCTGCCCAGGACCAGCAAGGCCATCGAAAGGAAGTGAAGTGTGGGAGCAGAGCCCCTGGTGGGGGGGGCTGCCCCGGGAGCCACCATGCTGCCATCAGGCCCTGACCAGAGGAGAAAGCTGCTTGTCATAGGATAAAGCGAAAGGCAGCATGGCCCCGCAGGCCACTCTTGCCAGCCTTCAAGGGGTGCAGAACAAAACCCCTCTTTGCCAGGTCTCTGAACCCTCCACCAGGCTGGGCCATTGGTTGGTTCTTTCCCAGATACCTTGTCATGGAAAGGTGTGACCGTCAGGGGGCTCACTGAAGAGAGCCCCTGAATGTGCACACCTGGGGTCCCAAGCCAGCGGCCACTCCCTGGCAGAGTCAGAGCCGCTCCCCCTGGAGAGCAGGGTGTGAGATTTGCATTCTCAGAAACTGGAGCCTCAGAGCCATCTTGTCTGAACAGCAGGGAGTGAGTTGTTTGGACAACAGGCAAGGTGCACAGTGAGCGGTGCCCGGCCATTCTGAGAGGCAGGGAGGAGCACGTAGCCATTGTGCTTGTTTGCTTCTGGGCATCTCCAGAATGATCAACAGAAAATGAGCTGCTTGAGTTGACTGCAAGAAGAGGAACTGGGTGGTTGAGGAGCCGGGGAGGGAGGAAGCTTCAGAGTACACCGTTTGGAATTTTACATTTTGAGCTGTTTAAATTATTATATATTTTAAAATAGCAGAAAGGCTGATGGTGCGTATGTTACTGGCTTGCTATGAGATGCTGGCAGGGGCCCAGCTGGGAGGCTCTCAGGAAGTCAGATTAGTCTGCAGGGACGCACATGCACTGCCTCTCGGTGCTGGGCTCAGGGGTTCCTGCTGTACAGGCGGGACCTGAAGTCCAGAAGGGACCGCCCCAGGCCACACAGCTGGAAGTGTAATGGACGAGAGATCTGGGGCTAGACTCCGATTTCCAAGGACCTGAAAGTGTTTATAGAAACTGGAAAAAGTGTTCAGATTTTTGGAGCCATAAATGCAGAGTGGAAATCAGAGCCTCCCAAGATAATGTGAATTTCAAAGTCAGCCTTCAGAAGATAAAGGGTCTGGTCCTTGGTTGAGGACCGAGGGGCTTTTGCTTGAGGCTGATGCTTGATGTCAGAACCTAGCCTCCTGCTGGAGCAGGGCAGTCCTAAAGGGAACACACGCTCTGTCTGCGGTTTCTCCTCCCAGCCCCCACCTTGGCCACAAGAGATCACTCAAGCCCAGTGGACTTCTCCTCCCCTAGCACTGCAAGCCCAGCGTTCAGCAGGCATTCAGCCAGGCCATGGGGACACCAGGAAGTCTCAGGTCTGGGTCCCTCAGAGCTGCAGGTGGGTCAGGAAGTGCGTCAGGCACAGGGCTGCGTCTGCTCTGCCGTCCTGGCTCTGCCACTCCCTGGCTGGGTGACTCAGTCCCCTCCCCTCTGTGAAACGTGCAAGCAAGCAGTTGCTGTGCTTGTTCTGAGGATTAAATGAGATGACCCCTAGCAAGCAGGCAAGAGGTTCCCTGTAGCTCTTCCTGTTGTGTAAGAAGGGGAAAAGGGACATTTCTAGACGGGCTAAAGCTTGGACGCGTAGGGTCAGTCAGGATCCCTGGCGGGGTCTAGAATGGTCTGGGAGCAGGTGGAACTTGGACTGGGCCTTGAATCAGAGAAAGAAGCAGTGAGCTTTCCAAGGAGGAGGCTCCGTGAAACCCGTGTGTTTGGGGTTTGTACTGGGAGCTGATGGGAAGTGCAGGGCCAGGCAAGGGGGAGCCATGAGTGGTTTTAAGCAGCGAAGGGCCATGCACAAAGCTTCATGGGGGAGGCTCATTTGGTGGCCTTGAGCCTTGAGCTGGAAAGGACCAGTGTTAGGTAGGAAGTCAGAAATCAGCCTGTGTTGGTGGGGAGCTGACGCAGTGGCATGAAGCTGCCACTTGCAGCGTGGCATCCCATATGGGCACCGATTCAAGTCCCGGCTGCTCCACTTCTGATCCAGCTCCCTGCTAATGCACCTGGGAAAGCAGCAGAAGATGGCCCAAGTGCTTGAGCCCCTGCAACGGCATGGGAGACCTGGAAGAAGCTCCTGGCTCCTGGCTATGGCCTGGCCCAGCCCTGGCCATTGCAGTCATCTGGGGAGTGAACCACCAGATGGAAGACCTCTCTGAAACTATGCCTTTCAAATAAATAAATCTTTGTTTTAAAAAAAAAAAAAAACAGAACTTTTTGCTTTGCTCAGGCCCCTTCACACAGGCTAATTTCTAACTTCCTACCTAACATGACCACAAGTACGAGCTTGGAAACACTTCCAGTCCCAGCCAAGTCTTCTGATGAAATCATAGCCCAGGCAATGTTCTGTTCATACCCTCATCAGCAATGCTGTGCGGCCCACTGGCCACAGA